CTATTTCCAGGTCTGGCCTGTGCATCTGAAAATGAATCTCAAAGTTGTGAACCAGATTGGAATACGTCTGACTGGATGTTCTCCCCACACTGTGACCCTAACGACTGCATAAAAATAAACACAATACAGGTATGTTCTATACTGCTTGCAACAGAATGCATCCTCGCTTTTCCTAACAGCAATATGTTATATAATATGTAGGGTATGCTCCTAAACGTGGTTTCCAACTTGTACATGTATATTATAATTTATGTTGTCATCAGAAAGTGGTTTTGTCTGTGGATTATTATTTTATGACAAAAAGGTCCCATTTCTTTAAAAAATACAACAAATATCCGTTGAATTAGTTATATCTACCAGTTAATATTAATATATTTGCTCTATTAGATGTGCATCTCTAATAAAAAAAAGGGCTCACAAAAGTCACATATTGTGAACCATAATTACAGACTTATGTTACTTGTACTACTTTTGCAACAAATATAGCTTACTGTGGTCCATAGTCTGATTATATGAGGTTATCACCTGTTATCACCTGTTATCACCTGTTATCACCTGTTATCACTTGTTCATAGAGCTGGTTGATTTGATTTTCTCTGAGCACTAAGCTGCACTACTGTGAATGATATGCACTATAGCCATCTGATAAGTAGCACATTTACATATTGACAATACTATATATACATGTACATAATAATAAAGTTTGCTAGTAATATGCTAAAAGTCATATTTAAGGGTATTTGCTTTTATCATGCAGCAGCCATTGTTGACTATTTTGCATTCCAAGCTTTGCTTTCTGGTTTCCTGCAACAATACAATATGTATGATTTGCTGCCTATGCTTTGCATCAATACAAAGAAAGTGAGGCTTGGAAAGAAATAGTAAGCAATGGCCCTGCATGATAAAAGCAAATTCAATGAACTGTGCTCATCACCATGTGATCTATATCACATGTTACCCTGAAAAATGACATCTGTTGATTTATTGTAGATTCAAACACTAGGGATTTGAAATGCTAACTTTTTATTTTCTGTAGCATGGCGTGTTAACTGGAGCAGCATTTGTATTGTCCTACACTATCAGTGGTATTCCTATTGGAAGAATTGCAGATTTAAGCTCTAGAACAAAAGTGTTAGGAATTGGGATGTTTTTCTGGTCTGCTATGGTGCTATTAACAGGTCTAGCCAAAGATTACTGGCTCATATTGTTAGCCAGGGTTGGTGTAGGTATAGGACAGGTAAGCACTTTCCTGACTGGTTGACTGATTTTCATTGCTTATTTCTAATAGTTTATAGCAACATTTAAAAATATATATTCATGCAGATATACAATACAGCTACAGACTTCTATTATTCTAACACCATATTTACAAACTATGATGTTCAACATAAATGTAATAATTCATAAAATAATTAAATTTCAGTGCTTCATCAAACTTGTTTTGAACATACATTGATTAAATTTCTTCAGATTTGGTATGATGGTTGATTGCTCACTCACATTGTGATGGACTTGTGGCCATTTTGTGTGTTATTTAACCAATGAGAGATAACCTTGCTAGAGTTTGTAGATTTTCTGATAATTCTATGTTTTTTAACATTTTTAACCATATCTGGTTACCATGATCAAATTTCTATTATGTAAAATAGCTACCTTTCAAAATTTGTTTTGATTTATATAAACACAATTCTGTTGATACATGTATAAACTTTGTGTGCTCTTACTCAATGGCATAAGATTATGGTCAATGCAATGAGTAATTGCAATGGTATGATGATTAAACATGAAGAGTTGCTTTTTTTCATGTTTTGATTCAAAATAACCAAATGGTGGAGATTGTACATAAGACATCAGACATACCTAAAAGATTACTGCAACTTCATGGCATAATTATGCAAATGCAATCAGTGTGTTATCCAATCAAAGATCACTGCTGACATCATTATGATTTTAAAATGTCTGCAACCATTTCCTGCATGTGTAACTCGTGAAAGATCTGAGGTTACCAACAGGAACTATGCCATGCATGGCTTGTTTATTATTTTATTCTCATTTCAGGCGTCCTGTAATCCCACATCTTATGCAATGATATCAGATTTTTTCTATGTCAATCGAGCAAAAGCATTGGCATTTTATCACTCAGGACTTTACATTGGTAAGATCAGATAATTTAGATTTTTTAAAGTGATATGGTTTGCTTCAAAGATGGGACCTTAATTTTTTAACATTCTTTGAATGGTCCCACTGTTGATAAAAATATATTAATATTATTTCTCATGTACTGTTCTGAATATTACCGTATTTATCCGGGTATAAGCCCAGGGTCTTGAACATGGAAAATTGCCAAAAAGAAGGGATGGGCGTTTGCCAGGAGATCCCCGGCAAAAAAAACGAAAATTCACGAAAATTGACAACAGGCAGATCGAACTACGGCAGGGAATAGAACGGCAAATAATAACATGCAACGCAAATAAATGAACACGATGCAACACTAGAAGTAAAACAAAAATAATGTATTGCTTATAATGTGGCAAATAAACCAGAAATAATAAAAATCGACAGTGAGAAATCATTTGAATTAGGATTTTCCCGCCGACAAACACGCCCAATATGCGTGAACTCAAAATGAATTAAAATGTCAGGGGTTAAACTGCGTAAAATGATTTCCGGTCTAGACAAATTACGAATCAACCGTCATGCAAGATCAATATTAATTTACAAATTTACACAGTAAAAATTATAAAAATTCATAGCTGTTTGAAAACACTTCTCAGATCTTTATTTGTACGTTCTTTGCCATCTTCGTCAAACTCAAAACCCTCAAATGTCCAAGTCGGCATCACTGTAGCCGTCGAGCAAAATCCCTACAACTTATTCCTGAAGTTCGTCGATATCGTCCCACACAATTTGGACTTAGCACTATTAATCCACATATTTCGCAGTCTGTCAGCTTGGCACTTTTCATTCATGTCTAATCATAATAAAGAGACAAGAAAAATGGGGTTGCTCTGCTGCGATGGCACACGATGCTTTTGTTTACAGTCTAGCAATCATCTTTGGCCTTTATGCATCTGCTTTACTGATTGGCTAAGAATGACATCACTACTAGCATTTCATCATAAAGGTCAAATCGTGACATTGCTTTCTTATCAGATTTGACGCTTATTAATTAATCACGGTGAAAGTTATCATTCAGCAAGTTCCGGCGGTTGGAATGTCTCACTATATGTATATTGCTGTGGACTTGAAATAGGAAGTTTTTTTTTT